GATTTTACAAGATCTAATATTATAAAAAAAATATTTAAATATGTATAATTATTGTTTTTTTTTTTTATTCAATAATAAACTTGCTTTTTATTTTAATTACATCTAACCTTAAATCATAAAGAATAGTTTTAATAAGTTTTAGTTTTAATTTGTTAATATTTTAAATTACTGTAATTTTTAAATTTTTTTCCAACCAACCATAGTTTATAGGTTTATGTTTTCCAAGACCTTTAAGTTTTGAATAAATAAAAACATACATGTATAATAATATTTTGTTTATTAAATGAAACTCATTTTTTCATATAATAATCAAACGGTCGTCTTGCTTTTAATAGTCTGACGCTTCGGATCGGTTAGTAATTTGTCAAATATGGTTTGCATTGCCTCATTAAGGCCAGTATGAAGCGTTTAATCTTTTGATTCATCGCTTGTATACAATCTGACAGTAGCTTCACTGAACTTCCATCTATAACAGCAAATTATTTTATTTTAAAAACAAAAGAAGTAAATAAAATCAGTGAAAAAAAAAAAACAGATTCATCAATAGGTTTTTTTAAATTTAAACCAATGTATTTACCTGTCTTTTACTGGTACATTCTCAATGTTAGCAACCTATAGTGGCTAATTACCCAAAGCTCCTTTGCTTTTTCTTTAAAAGGTGACTTGATTGTTACAACACCACCATCCCCTTGTCTAAATGTGAGCGAATTAATTAACTCGACATCAAATTCTTCTGATCTCAAACGTTCGGTAACATTATCTCTGTATGATGCATTCTATAAAAAAAATTAAATTATTTATGCTATCATTATAATAAATATTATTTATATTACCATTTTATTCTGCTTTTTTTCATAGGTTTTTTCGCACTTGTTTTTTCTGCAGCACGTTTTAGACCAGGTTTTGTTTTTGAAAAAGACGGTCTCATATCAATTGATTCGCTGAAATGTTCATTCTATGAAACATATAACATAGTATATTATTTTTAACTATTTTTTCATTTTATATTTTCTATGTTCCAAGAATTATAACCAAAGCGTTGAGTAATGTCACGACTGACCTCCAATATGCTTTAGTTACTATATAGTTTTTTAAACTATGTCATAATCAGACATTTAATATTATTTTAAGAATTATAACCATAGCGTTGAGTAGTGTTATGACTGGTCTCCAATTAGCTTTGGCTATAAGATATTTACTAAGTAGTTACTAACCTCTGAATCAGTTGAAGCAATTGTACGGTACGACATCTTTTTTGGTAGTATCTCTGTTGAACTGAGCTGCTTGTCCTGGGATGAAATCTTGAAGACTGGTGAATATTAGTGAATTCCCTCTGTCTTTTATACACAGATTTTGCCACTACTTCAATAATTTAAAATACAAATTTCCACAGCAATGACCTTACCTTACAGAAACCGTTCGAAACATGTACATAGAGGTACAACAGCCAATTACATTATATGAATTTAAATTGTTGCTAACATAAATTGCTTTCATATAATAATTACACTATATGAATATAAATTATTACAAACAGGATTTAAAATAATTTACATACATACCAATGCCATTCTAATATGAAAAAAGGATGTGTAATATATTAAAATGTTTAAATCCATTCTAAAAAAGTTTCTGATGTGAACAGAGAGGGGCTATTTTCGGGTATAAAACACAGAATTTCTTAGCTTATCGTCATCAGTTCAAGCAACAGCAGTCCACAGCAGATCCAAGAGCAGTCAGCAGCAGAACAGCCTTCTTCGCCAACCAACAGTCAGCCAACAGATTACCAGACCTCTTCAACAAGTCATCATACTTAGAAAAATACTTAAATTTCCACAAGCTATGTAAGTACTATTTTTATATTGTTATTTATTAAATTTAACATCTAAACTTCTTTTTTAAAATAAAAAAAATAAATAAAATAAAATAGAATAATAACAATGTATCGTTGTAATATAGCTTTATAATATTACTATGAACGTTATATCATGTAGGTATGACTTTAGATAGAAATTCTATCTAAAACCGTGCTTACAAACTTAAAGATATTTCATCAGATCAGATTATATAAAATAAAAACCATTAAAATAAAAGTAGTGGTTTAAGACGGTTTCTCAACTCTCACTTTTAGTTACTATCATATAAGCTGTTTTCTTTTTTGTTAAGTTATGTTTAAATAAAATAAATAATACGTTATAATTATGCGACTGTATGACCACACTCCACGATATTGAAAACTGCTGTATCAATGTATCATAGATTTAAATAGATAAGATAAAACATCGGGCTTATCAGCCATGGATAAAGTGTTTAATTTTTTTTGAGGTTTTAAGAGTTCCATATTATCACGAACTAAGATATATTATCTTAGTTCATGCTTATTATTGATAATTATTGTAACTTAACCTCAAAATCTGACTGCACTAGTACACACTGGTGTACACTGCCCGATACCGTGAATTTCAACGGTGTGGTCAATTATGTGATTATGGAATCAGTGTTCACGTGTAGTGTGTACTAGTACAGTCAGATGGAAAAACGCTATTACGGTTATCTATAGTTTATCAACGTTGAAATACTTTCGCTGATTATAAATATTTGGTATTGATAATGTGATAGTTGTATTCATGACGATTACAGCTGATAAGGAGACCAAACTCCTATGGGCATCAGGCACTTTTCCCGAAATTTCATGGAGAGGAAAAAAAAAAAAAAAAAGAAACCAGTGAATTCCCGAACATTTGTACCAACATAGAAAACAAAATTCCCTACAAATTATTATAATTAATTTATATATTTGGTGGAAATATTTATTTTTATTTATTTTTATATTCAAAAATTATCGTATAATTATGGTTCGGTTCAAATATTATTGTATAATTCTAAAAACCACTTTATTGCCAAATTCTGTTTTATTTTTTAAAGGAAAAAGTGCACATATTGGTAGGTACATAATTGCAAAACTAAATCAATTTTAGTTGATATACTACACCATAATAATACTACAGATTAAATGTTATGTACTATAGTACTATATCACATACCAACTTTTTGCAAACATTGAAATTATTCCTATTTTTATAGGGTATACACAATAAACTATTGTTATGTCTATTGGATATCTAATTTGCGACTGTAAGTGTGTATCATGGAAAAAATTAAGTTGTGTGGTGGAGATGTCACATGGAATGCTATGTACTAGCCCATATTTATGAGGGGGGCAACGGGGACATTTTGGCCAAATATTTAGGGGGGCAGCCGGTCACCGCTGTGGCTCTGTAGTTCAGTGTAATATTTTTTTGGAAAGAACTTGTACTATGATTTGTACCATAATTTGATGGAGTAATATTTTGGGGAAAAAAAATTATAATTATAATACCTATTATATTCTTTTTTGTAGATTTTTTTTACTGTGTATAATAATATACTATATTTTGTTATACCTTATACCTACATTTTAATAATAGTAATTAAAACATGACCAATTGACAGTTAAAGTGTATTAAGAAAAATCAAAAAAGTGGATCTATTTTTTGGTGGGGTTGGGGCTTAAAAATATGGTTACCCAGGGCGCAAAAATTGTAACATACTGTGTTTAAGTGGAGCAAATTATCAATTTAAATTTAATATAAAAAAAATTACAAACTTAACTCAATTAAAAACAAGTTCGGTACAGGTTTGTTATCCATACACAGCAATACATTTAGAGATTTAGATATATATGTATGATTATTAGATATAATTATGTATAATAATATATTTTAACATGTAAATTAATTTTACAAACATGGTTTAATAGTTGAATATATATTTACAAGCAAACAGTTATTATAATTATAATTGTTTGCACACATTCTTTAAGCCAGAGGTCGGCAAGTAATTTCTATTGGAGTCCTAAAGATTAAAATAATAAATCAATGAGGTCCAGTGTTAATCTTTGTCAAATCTTTATATTTAAAAAATAGCAGTATTAAATTAAAAATAATTATCCAGTTGGTATTCCAATTAATTTATATTAAAAAATTACAATGCCTATTAGGTAAATAATAATAATAATAATAATATTAATAATAATTTAACGCTGTCTGTATATTTGGTATTTTCGCGATTCGGTTATTGTAATAAAACAGAACAGATTATTACCTACCTGAAAGAATATTTGCAATGAATTATGATACAACTATAATCTGAGTTTGATAAACGAAATGAAATATATATTTTCTATTAATAATTATAGTAAAATAATAAAATAATAATAATACATAGCATATACTTTTACAGCAAATAACACAGTTTAAGCTAATGCTTGAGTTCATAATATAGTTACAAAGTAATAAAAAATGTCTATAAATACTTGATTAATACTTAAATAATATTAATTATATATACATGTGGGATGGTAACACTGTTGGTGTTCAGGCCGAGTCAAGGCAGTGTGATGACCCGTCTGGAGAGGGCAGTGATGTCGAGACGCCCGACGAGTGACGTTCTGACGTGTAACAGTTAATGATGATGTGTAATAGTTAAAGTTGTGCAATAGTTAAAGTTGTTACTTGTAATTTGTTTTTTAAATATATTGAGTCTAAGGTTATTCGTCTAACTTTATTCGTATTGATCCCACATTTTGGGGGCCTGTCCGGGATCGTAATCGAATCGTTATTCTGAATTGTGTAGCCTGGACGGATAGACTCGTACCGATTGTTTTGTTCGTAAGTGCCGTTCGTATAGGTAACAGTGCGTGGTTCGAAATTTGCCGTGTGAAATTACTCGTGTGCTAAACGGTCGTACGACACAGGGTACGCCTTTGTTGTTTTTGCGCGGGAAAAACGTGGTGTGTTGTAGGCTGTCGTATATCGCTATTTACATAACCTCAAATTGTCGATTATCAGCAGCGAAGTTTAACGTACCGTGGTACACTGTTATCATTGATAAAACGATAACCGTGATTACGGCTAATTGTTGTTTGTGTATTGTGCGATTGTGAGAATTTCGGTCGCATAATGCCTACTCGTAAACGGAAGTCAGCGGCCAGGAAGCAGTCGCCGAGCATTAGTAGTGTTCACCTCGAGACTGAAGCTCCAAATGGCAATGCGATCAAATTCTGCGATGTCCTAGACGCATTGTCACCCTTTACGGGTGATGGTCATTGTTCAGTGGCGAAGTGGCTCAACGACTTCGAGGAAATGGCGTTGTTGTGTGCTTGGTCAGAACTACACAAGTTTATTTACTGTAAACGCTTGCTCTCAGGAACGGCGCAGGCTTTTGTTAGGTCAGAGGATGGTTTGAGCTCATGGACAGTGTTACGCGCTCGGTTACTTAGTGAATTTCGTAGTCGGCTAACATCAGCAGATGTCCACCGATTGCTCTCCACCGATTTTAAGCAGAAGGACGAAACGTTGTTGCAATACCTGTATCGAATGCGCGAACTGGCGATGCAAGGCGGTGTCCCTGATGACGCGCTGATGGACTACATCATTGGTGGAATTCCAGATGCAGTGGTTAACAAAAGTATGCTTTATGGTGCAACTTCCATTCCCGAATTCAAAATTAAATTGGAGCTGTATGAGAGGATGTGCGAAAGACGGAACGCCGAATCCAAGTATAATATGCCACCTGTCCCTGCACATAATGTCCCAGCGGAAGTAAGATGTTACAATTGTGGCGATCGAGGACACCAGTCGCGAGAGTGTCCCGATGCGGGTAAAGGACCCAAATGCTTTGCCTGTCGAGGGTACGGGCATAAGTCGTTTGCCTGTCCCACCAAGTCTGATAACCAGCATGCAGGTGCTACTAGTCGTTCGAATAGACCCGCCGATGTCTACCAGGTCAACGGTCACAATACGGATGATAGGATTGTAAAACCGGTGTATATCCTTGGCCAGGAGGCGTTGGCCCTGGTTGACACCGGATGTGATATACATCTATGCCGAGAGTCGTTTTTTAAAAAGTTGAGTGGCATACATAGCATCCCGAGCCGTACACAGTTGAATGGACCAGCTAACGCGTACTTTCATACGGATCGTCGTTTCGAATGTAACCTAACCGTGGATGGAGAAAGCTACCAAGTTGATGTGCATTCTGTACCTGATAGTGCCATAGGGTATGATGTTATTTTAGGTCGACCATTATTCCAGACTAACGCGGTACTAAGGGTAAGCCCTCAGTCTGTGACCATTACCCATGTCAATACTGCCCAGCAGTTAATGAACATCAACACTAATGTCAACGAGTTGGATGTAGGCGTGAGAACTCAATCGGTCGTAGTGCAGGAATTGATCGATGCATACCACCCAGTTCAAGGTGTTACTGCCCCAATGAAAACGGTCATTGTCCTGCATGATGAGACTCCAGTATTCCAGCCACCCAGGAGATTGGCGCCGCAAGAAAAGATGGCAGTAGATAAACAGATCCAGGAATGGTTATCCGAAGGTATCATTCAACCCAGTTGCTCTGAGTATGCCAGTCCCGTCGTGTTGGTCAAGAAGAAGGATGACACACTTCGACTCTGTATCGATTTCCGTGAGTTAAATAAAAAAATTGTAAGGGACCGTTACCCGTTGCCATTAATTGACGACCAGATTGACCGCCTACGAGGCGCGGTGGTTTTCTCGACACTAGATCTGCGAAATGGATTTTTTCATGTTCCAGTGGATGATGCTAGCATCAAATATACCTCGTTTGTTGTACCTAACGGTCAGTATGAGTTCCTACGCACACCATTTGGACTATGTATATCACCACCCATGTTTCAGAGATATGTGAATTTCATTTTCCGTGACCTCATCCGGCTTGGCCACCTGTTAGCCTACATGGATGACCTGATTGTGGTAGCAGCGACTGTCGAGGAAGGTCTAGAGCGATTAAGGATTGTGTTAAAGGTTGCAGCCGAAAATGGATTAGACATTAAGTGGTCCAAATGCCAATTTTTGAAGGATTCTATAGACTACTTGGGCTACCGTATCCGACACAATGAGGTGAGCCCATCGGAAACGAAGACGATCGCAGTGCAGAAGTTCCCACTACCAAGGACCGCCAAAGCCGTACAAAGCTTTTTAGGTCTCACCGGATACTTCCGTAGGTTTATACGCGGATATTCGCAAATTGCATTACCACTAAGCAATTTGTTGAAACAAGGAGTGCTATTTCATATGGGACCACATCAGGAAGCAGCGGTGAAGAATTTGAAGCAGTGTCTATCAGCGGCGCCAGTACTTAAGATCTACAGCCCCGAAGCTAGCCGCACCGAGTTGCACACAGATGCCAGCCAGTTTGGATTTGGAGCTGTGTTGCTGCAGGTCGACGATAATGATGATGAACGATTGCATCCGATCTGTTATATGAGCAAGAAGACGTCCGAAGCTCAACAGAAGTTTCATAGCTATGAACTTGAGGTCCTAGCAATAGTAGAGGCGTTAAAGAAGTTTCGTGTATACCTACTGGTCTTAAGGTTTAAGATAGTGACCGATTGTGCTGCCTTTACCAGGACTCTAGAAAAAAAGGAACTGGCTACCAGAGTTGCCAGATGGGCGTTACTGATTACTGAATACGACTACGTTATCGAACATAGGGCTGGCTCACGGATGCCTCACGTTGATTCTCTGAGCCGGTATCCCATGTGTATGGCAATTCACAGTGAATTTCTAGCACGACTAAGAATTGCCCAACAGGAAGATTCCCGAATACAACAGCTGACTATCGATGATCAAACTTTCACAACAGTCGGAGGGCTGATATATGAGATTCACAATGGCCAAAATTTACTGGTTATTCCATGTAAGATGCAAAATGAAGTGATAAGGGATGCACACCACATTGGTCATTTTGGGATAATAAAGACTGAGGCCTTGATACAACGTGACTATTCCATCACTGATCTAAGGGATAAAATTGGCAAGATAATAAATAATTGTGTCACTTGTATACTTGCTAATCGGAAGCAAGGCAAAAAAGAAGGGTTCCTACACAGCATAGACAAAGGAGACACCCCTTTGTCCATGTGGCATATAGACTTCCTTGGTCCGCTGACACAAACACCTAAGGGATACCGACACATTCTGGCGGTAATCGATGGGTTCACCAAATTCTGCTGGTTATTTCCTACTAGAAGTGTCACCGCTAAAGAAGTCATTGATAAGTTGGCAGTGATGGAAGCTACTTTTGGTAATCCGGAGACACTAGTGTCGGATAGAGGAACTGCATTCACTTCAAAAGACTTTAGTAATTATTGCTCAGAACGGAAGATCCGTCACATCCTTATAACTACAGGTGTACCAAGGGCTAATGGACAAGTGGAAAGACTGAATACTATCATTATAAATGTATTAACCAAACTAAGTATGACTGAGCCTGACCAGTGGTACCGTCAGGTGTCGAAAGTGCAGATGGCACTGAATGGGTCGTATCAGCGCTCCATAGGGATGACTCCATTCAAATTAGTTTTTGGAGTAGAGATGAATCACCCAGAGTACCAGTCAATAAAAGAGGCAGTGCAGATTGAATATGTTAGGTGTCATGAGGAAGGTCAGGAAGAAAACAGACAGTTCGCAAAGAAACAGATACAGAAGGCGCAGATTCAGCAGCAACGTGCGTTTAACAAGTTCAGAAAGGAAGCTGTCAGTTACCGACTAGGGGATCTAGTTGCTATCAAGAGGACACAGTTCTTACCAAATTCAAAGCTATGCAGAAAGTTTTTGGGACCTTATCGAATAATAGGACGCGAAGGTAACGAACGGTACAAGGTGCTAAGAATCGGCATACATGAGGGACCTGAGCGAAGCTTTTCCTGCGCTGAGTATATGAAGCCATGGCGTTCCATCGACCAGGATCAAGCTGAGGAGTCCGATGAGGAAGACACAGCTTCCGAGACGGACGCTGTTCAAGGTGGGAGAATGTGGGATGGTAACACTGTTGGTGTTCAGGCCGAGTCAAGGCAGTGTGATGACCCGTCTGGAGAGGGCAGTGATGTCGAGACGCCCGACGAGTGACGTTCTGACGTGTAACAGTTAATGATGATGTGTAATAGTTAAAGTTGTGCAATAGTTAAAGTTGTTACTTGTAATTTGTTTTTTAAATATATTGAGTCTAAGGTTATTCGTCTAACGTTATTCGTATTGATCCCACATACATTGTATTTCGTAAAAATTCATACTAAATTAATCTTCTTCATTATAGAAAATTGTAAAATATGTTTATAATAAATTAGTGAATTGATTAATATTTATTACCATATTCCTACCAAGCGAAATTTTATGATTTAGCCAACTTTAATTACAATTGTAGTATTCATATATTTTTTTAAATTTGGTATTATAGTTATGCTTACAAGTTTATGGTTTTGAATTATAGTCAAATATGATGCAGTTTATACAAAACATTTTGAAAATATTATAAAATTTATAAATTCAAACTCATCTTTAAATAGTACTCCATCATCACCGATAAGAGGTTATCCTCAGTGGTGAGATGGGCCATTTAACTATGTAATAATATTCAATTTTTGGCCAATAAATATTATTATTAATAAGTTGGTAAATACGTTTGATGCTTAAAACTTAATAGTAAAATACATTTAGTGAAAATCTTATCAAAATCTAAGATATTTAATTCTTTAATAATAAATTTAGTACCTACAAGTAAGAATATAGTAAGAGTAAGTAATTGTTCATAATTGTATAATTTT